GGCGTGAAGGTGTGACGACGTGCTGGTGTGAATGGGCTTTGGGCTTGATGGCTAAAGCAACTTCAAGTCGGGCAGGACAGTGTGTGTTGTCAGTCCCACTGACGGTAGATGGCCACGGCTGTCATGTCCGTCTTGTGCATGCGTTGTGTGGGTGTGGCGAGAGTGGCCGAGTTCGGTCGAGCCCGCCACCACATGCCCGAGGGTCATTCGGATGCGTGTCAAGTAGAGACGTGGAGGAAAGCGAAAACGAGAAAGGACGAGTGAGCGAATGGGTGTGGGAGAGAGAGGTTGAAAGGAGGCTGTAGCGAGGCATTTCACTCTCCTGTACATACAAAGAGAGAGGTTCGCCATACAAATTTATGTTGCTGTACCTTTCACTCGTCCAGCCACCCCAATCCGGTCATCCTGTGCTTCGAGTCCCGTTGGGGATGCTGAGCCAACCAGTTCGGGCAACGCAGAAACTGCAATCTAGTCCGGTCCATTCGCATTAAGAATACCTTTTTGGAAGCAAGAATGAGGGAAATTCAATTGGAAACCTGAGGTCTCCTTATCCGATTTTGGGAGAATCCAATCGTCAGCAGCTTAAACAAAATAACATGAGCTACTGGTGGGCTTGAAGACTTTCTTATAAACGAAAAATTGTGTGCTCTCATCTGGTCCGTCGTGCAAGATACCTGCAGTATTAGAAAGCGCCAAAACCCAAAATGCCAAACCTAGCCGATTTGCCGTATAAAAATGCAACTTATTTTCCATTTGTAAGTTGGCTTTTGAGCATAGATCAAAATCCTATTTCATTTAGGGTGATAAAGGGACTGGTAGGATAACGATATGAGTAGATATGACGTGAGATTGATTGAAAACGTCATACCTACTCATATAGGCAAAGTAGTCGATTGCTCTAGCATGGAATATAATATGGGAAGATACCTGGCCCTCTTTGAAATTCACATCCGCCCTGTGACCCAAGATAACTTGTGGTAGTCTGGCTTGGTGTTTAAAGAGTCGAAATTATACACTGTACTGTCAAGGTTCGAGTCCCGCTGAGGGTGTTGATAAGGACACTTAAGACGAGGTCGAAATTGCAGTCAACTCCAGTTTAAGTGAGAATACTCTTTTGGAAAGCAAGGATATGTGAAATTCAGTGGAAAAGTCATGTCTACTTAAAGATTGTGGGAATAGGGTGAATACATCCGGCA